TCTGTGTGTGTGTGTGTGTGTGTGTGCAGTGGCTGAGAGTGAGAGGCGACACATGTTGTTCGGCCGTCCACGGGTTCTGCAGTCTGACGCTAAATACTGTGTCCTGCATCAACACGGATTCATCACGGCCTACAGCACACTCACCCACACGCCCGTCTGGAGCTCCTTCACTCTCGACAAAACCGTGAGACGCACACACACACACACATACACATACACATACTGCAACAGTGGCATAGCAACACTCTAGCAACCAGCCAGGACATGCTAACATGTGACTCATGTCTTCAGCTGAACATGCTCAGATCTGGTTCTAATGACAAACTGAACGTGTGTTTGTAGGCTGAAAGTTCTCCGGTTGTCTCAGATTGTCTCCGGGCAGACATCAGAATTCCAGCCAATCAGAGCGCGACATGTGACCAGTTCAACAACGCTGGCAACATCACACACGTCTTCCTGTTCCCACCCAGTGAGTGTGTGTGTGCATGTGTGCTTAATTTATTGCAGTTAGTTGCCTATGCAACTTTTCACATTTTATGTATATTATTTTAATATTCATATTATATTAATATAGCTATAACTCTGGGATGTACTTAACAATACATAAGTAAAAATGTATTTAATAATTTTCTGAAAAAAATTATTTTTATTTAATTTTTCAGTTGCATTAAGCTGTAAAACATCCTCAGTGTTTTATTTATGCATATTAATTTCATTTATTTTTTCATGTATTTTTTTATTTGTTCATTAAGTAAAAATAAGTTCGAATATTTTTATAATATTTTATTATACTTTTAGTTAACAATAAAACCCAATAAAAAAGTGAAGTTGTGTGTGTTTAATGTGTTTGTGTTGTCAGATCTGAACCGCACATCTGAAGATCAGTTTGATGCTCTGACACTTGGAAACATGGTGCCCGTCTTCCTACAGTTCAAGAGTGAGTGTTTGAGTTGTGAGTTTATTATTAGTAAGTGTTTGTTTGTTTGTTTGTTTGTTTGTTTGTTTGTTTGTTTGTTTGTTTGTTTGTTTGTTTGTTTGTTTGTTTGTTTGTTTGTTTGTTTGTTTGTTTGTTTGTTTGTTTGTTTGTTTGTTTGTTTGTTTGTTTGTTTGTTTGTTTGTTTGTTTGTTTGTTTGTTTGTTTGTTTGTTTGTTTGTTTGTTTGTTTGTTTGTTTGTTTGTTTGTTTGTTTGTTTGTTTGTTTGTTTGTTTGTTTGTTTGTTTGTTTGTTTGTTTGTTTGTTTGTTTGTTGTTTATTTGTTTGTTTGTTTGTTTGGATCATGAGTGTTTTAATCGTGAGTGTTTGTTTGAGTTGTGAGTGTTTAAATATGGTGTTTTAAGTCATGAGTATTTGAGTCATGAGTGTTTGAGTCGTGAGTTTTTATATGTGGTATATGAATCGTGAGTGTTTGAGTCATGAGTGTTTGAGTCGTGAGTTTTTATATGTGGTATATGAATCGTGAGTTTGAGTCATGAGTGATTGAGTTATGAGTTTTTATATGTGGTATATGAATCGTGAGTGTTTGAGTCATGAGTGTTTGAGTCGTGAGTTTTTATATGTGGTATATGAATCTTGAGTGTTTGAGTCATGAGTATTAGAGTCGTGAGTTTTTATATGTGGTATATGAATCGTGAGTGTTTGAGGAACCGCACATCTGAAGATCAGTTTGATGCTCTGACACTTGGAAACATGGTGCCCGTCTTCCTACAGTTCAAGAGTGAGTGTTTGAGTTGTGAGTTTATTATTAGTAAGTGTTTGTTTGTTTGTTTGTTTGTTTGTTTGTTTGTTTGTTTGTTTGTTGTTTATTTGTTTGTTTGTTTGTTTGTTTGTTTGTTTGGATCATGAGTGTTTTAATCGTGAGTGTTTGTTTGAGTTGTGAGTGTTTAAATATGGTGTTTTAAGTCATGAGTATTTGAGTCATGAGTGTTTGAGTCGTGAGTTTTTATATGTGGTATATGAATCGTGAGTGTTTGAGTCATGAGTGTTTGAGTCGTGAGTGTTTATATGTGGTATATGAATCATGAGTGTTTGAGTCATGAGTGTTAGAGTAGTGAGTTTTTATATGTGGTATATGAATCGTGAGTGTTTCAGTCATGAGTGTTTTGTAAGTTTTTATATGTGGTATATGAATCGTGAGTGAGTCATGAGTGTTTGAGTTGTAAGTTTTTATATGTGGTATATGAATCGTGAGTGAGTCATGAGTGTTTGAGTTGTAAGTTTTTATATGTGGTATATGAATCGTGAGTGTTTGAGTCATGAGTGTTTGAGTCGTGAGTGTTTATATGTGGTATATGAATCATGAGTGTTTGAGTCATGAGTGTTAGAGTAGTGAGTTTTTATATGTGGTATATGAATCGTGAGTGTTTCAGTC